TCCACTATGGGGAATCAGGGAAGTTCTTTTTTTTTTAAATGTAAATTTTTTCCCAAACTTTTTTTTCTGAGTCATGAACTTCCGCGTCCCAAGTCGATAGACATTAATCGTAAACACCTGGGAAACATTATGCGACGTGACCCAAAATAAAATCTCTCACGACCCACCTGAGGGTTGCGACCCAGTCTTTGGGAAACAGTGGTAAAAAGTACTCATTACCTGTTACATTTGTCAACCAGTAAAACCCTCATCTTACGTTTTGTTTGTTTTGACCTCGTAATTCCACTCAATCACAGTTTCAGCTTCAAAAATTCCAATTTTTTTTTAATGGACTTCACTGCGTTTCTCTGTATTTGACACATTTTCAAAAGTGAACTGTGCAGTTCTCTAATCTGTGAACACGATCTGCTGCTTCCAAACACCGGCTTCTCTTTTTTTTCTTTTTTTTTTCTTCACCGACTGAATAGACTTCCATTTCTGCTCAGACAGAAACTTGTTAATGTGGTAAAACGCTAATAATCCTGTGCTAAAACGCAGACAGTCGGTGAAAACGATTTCACATTTGTACTGGACTCTGACCTCCAATCATTTTAGAACTCTGAACAGAGGCCACGAGAGGTCAGCACGACTTTTTAAGCCAATGACCCGTCGCTATTCACACAGACACAAAAAAGACTTTTAAAAGTTTAAAACCAGAACGTCACCTTTGTAGCATCAAAAGTTCCTGCATTTTCCAAAAAGTTACAAACGTCAGGTGTGACAAATATTTACCCACTTAAAACCAGAAATTATGCAAATAAAAAAAAAAAGCACGGACCAAACTGTTCTCACGTTTAAAAAAAAGGAGAAGTCTCTCCGTGAAGGCAGATTAAACAAAAATGCTAATTTCACTTTTAAACAAATGGTTGATGTCGTGTTGAACGAGGAGTAACTAAATTATACTGAACTAAAAATTCACAACATTAGAGCTGGTGTCCAAACATGAAGCTCAACGTCCACCCAGAGAGAAGCTGAAGATATTTGATTATTTTACATTTTATTTCAGTTTCGTTTGATTAACGAGGTGATTAGATCAGACGGACCAATCAGGTAATGGTTGGAGAAGAAGCTGAGAAACAAAAATACCTCCAACCAAAGAACCAGACCGAGGTTCCTGAGCAGAAACGACAAAGATTCACCAGAGGTTGGTCGTCCCTGAGTGAAGACGTTCGTGTCCGACCGACTGGATTATCTGCA